TGTTACCAGAAATATGATCCGATGCACCTGAATCAATGACCCAAGACTCAGAGGATGAAGATTAAGAGACACAAGTCACGCTATCACCTGTTTGAACAACGGAAGCTATCTCAGAAGATGTCTGCTTACCTGCTTTGTACTGAAGAAACTCAAAATAATCCACTAAAGAAACCATCCGACTATTCGAAGTATCAGTTCCCATGTCGCTACAATTAATAGTAGTAGGGTTAACTTGAAATAGTGGAAATTAGTAACTCCTTTGGGAAAACTGAAGAGATCGCTAAGAAAACACTGTTTCTGCGCCGGAAACTTAACAATGTTCTGCGTGGAAAATACTGTTCACGCCAGAAATACTGTAGCAGCCAGAAAAATTCAAAGTGGTCGGAATGAAATAAAACTAGTAGGGGTAGGATCGGAATTACCAGACGACCCAACTATTCTGAAGAAACTTTTTCATAAAATGGCCAGCAGTCCACTTCTGAAATCACTGTTCACGTCGGAAAAATATAAAAGTGGTCGGAATTTGGTGTAACCTAGATGGGTAGGCTCGGAATTGCAAGGGGAACAATCTTTCCTGAAGAGTCATCGCCAAAAAATGGCCGCAAGGTGGCCCATGCGATGTCGGAACTTCGCCGGAAAAGTTTCTTCCAACAGCTACAGTACCGTCGGAGATTTTCACTGGGGTTTGGTTGCCGGACAGTGACTACTCTTGTGGTAGTGTTGGATTTTGCACAACACTGACCGATACAAAGCAGATGCAAAACAACTTTGAAAAATCGCCGGAAAAAAGGGTTTCGGTGACTGATTTCACTTCCCGGAATCGCTGGAATTTATGCACAACGATAAATCTCTCACGATAGCTCTGATACCATGTGAGAAGGCACGGGAGAAAATATAATATATTGATATTGTGTGTTCAATACAATACAAGAGGTCCTTATTTATAGCTATACTGTACAAGGACATACTACTCCTATTCCAATGTGGGACAAGACTACATTATGTACATATCTAACATTTTCAATTAGAAAGTGTAAGAAGCAATGGCACTTATCAAATTGTGTGACGATGTTTTAGTCCCTCCAGCTCAGTTTAAAGCTGAATTTATTGGTGGGAGGGATTTAATACTTACTATCAGACCTTCAAAATGATCACCCACGTGCTTGGCGTATGCTCGAGAATTTAATTTGACGTGGATGAGAGCTGGATTCCTGAACATGTCATCGGAGCTGGATTTTAGGTGTACTTTGTCTGTGCAAATTTGATGTCAGTATCTTATCTCGTTTCAGTATGCTTTTACTGTGATCTGCTTTGCAGATCGGCTCTTGGCATGTTTTAATGCCATGTGTTAAATCACATCAGCTCTTAGATGAGTTTTTCTTGTTAATTAAGCAATCAGAGTTGAGATAGTTCTGGGAAAACCCGTTCAGGGGTCTAAGAATAAGAAAAATCTTACATTTATTAATCGTAAGAACTTGAGTTGCGAGCCTATACTGCCCCATACTGTAGTGGTTAAGTGAGCTGTAAATACAGAAAAGAGAAGGATATTTCTCCACCTATCTCTAATTGTTATTTTAGTGGATGCTATGGTCTTTTACAAATTTTTGTCGTTGATAGTGGTTGATGATAATTAAGTGACCTGTTCAGCTAGAGCTCGTTTAACTGCTTGAATTTCTTAAGTAATTCCAGAGAGATTTCTCTCTCTTGCATCAGTAACTGCAACATAAAGTGTGGGACAACCTTATGCTCCTTGGTTAGGATGTACAGATACCAAATTGATCCCATAGGGGAGACTAGGTACTTATTAGCCCCTTGGGAGCAGTTGGGATTAAGTCTCCTGATTCTGACCAGTTAATGGCTGTATCTTTTTTTTGATAAGTAATTAAAGATATTATAAATTTATGCACTAAGCCAGTGCATGAGGCACCAAAAAGCTAACAAAAAAAATACATCTCTGTTTAAGGCTGTGAATGTTGCTCGATGTGCCTTCAAAAATTCTATTGTTTCTGTTGATGGCTATATCTTTCTGTTGAATCTTAAAAAATAAAAAGAAGACACTACTACATGCTGATTCAGATTGTTGGAAAATTACATATTTAATTTTGTCTATTTAAGATTTCCCATCATTATACGTGTATCTCAACTCTTCAACTTCATCATTGCCTATAATCTTTAAGTGATTTTCTACCTGCAGGTTATCTATATAGCACCTTTAAAGGCTATTGTTCGTGAGAGAATGACGGACTGGAGAAAGCGTCTTGTTTCCCAACTTGGAAAGAAGATGGTGCGTGAAGTTTCTTTTGTTTGGGCATTATTTTTATGACTCAGAGATGTACTATCACTGCTAACTCAAATATTTTAAGCAGGTTGAAATGACTGGTGACTACACCCCGGATCTAATGGCTCTCTTGTCAGCAGACATCATTATCTCCACTCCTGAAAAGTGGGACGGTATCAGTCGTAATTGGCACAGTCGAAGCTATGTCACTAAGGTGCAATATCTCATTCGTTTTTATACCTTTGTTTGTTTGTTTGTTAAGCTATTTATACGTAATATCAAAATCATAACATCAACATTCTCTTCATGAATGCTCTCTTGAACATAATCAAATGTTCAAACCTACATCAATAGGTTGGGCTTATGATTTTGGATGAGATTCATTTACTTGGAGCTGATCGAGGACCCATACTTGAGGTACGCAGCTGATTATCACTGAATGTCTCTCATACTTGTATTGCAATTGCTTTGACTTGTCATTCTTTTTTTTTTTTCTTTTTCTTTTTTCTTCTTCTTCGTCTTCATCTTCTTTTTTTTTTTTTTTGTGATTGGCCAGTTAAAGTTATTCATATTCAAGCACTAAGTGAGTGCTGTGTTCAAAATATAGAAAAGGATAGTTCCCTTTTTAGATAGGTAGGGAGCTAACAAACTCCATCAAGTCATCTATATGATGCACAAAATTTAAATCTAACTATATTAGGTCTTATACTTCCTTCAGAGCATAAATTCCCTCCCTCTATGTAGCCCAAAGGACACAGAGAGAGAGAGCATTCCAGACTTTCCATCTACATAAAGTTTGTTTCAAATTCTTAGGCATCACCCATAACCCAAAAAAGATTAAAAAACGTGCACGACATCTCTTGTTTTTGCAAGAACAAATGATTAGCATTTACCAATTCACTCCCATGCATCAATTTGTTCGAATTGTATTGAATAAGGAGGCTCCCTTGACCTCGTTGAAGTTTACTTTTAACCTTTGCTATCAATATCCATGATACCATGTTTTGCCCTGAATGAGTTAATTTCTTGATATGACGGGAAACCCCTGCATACAAGCTTGTATACCAAAATCTGGAGAATTTTTTCAGGAAAGTACATAATGTTTGGTAGGATGTTAAGGAAACTGTTTTATTTCGAAATGGATGCTATTAAGAAACTCCATTGAGGTGTGAATTGGCTGGAAGGATGTAATGTTTGTTTTGTTCCACATTGGTGGAGAGATGGTTGTTATCTCCTTATATGGTGTCGGGAAATTCTTGCCTCATGAGCTAACTTTTGGGGTGGAGTTAGGCCCAAGGTCCATTTCTTATCATGGTATCAGTGACACTTCGCATGTAGCTTTGGGCGATGGTCGGCCAAACCTACTGTTCAACTGAATTTAAATCCTACATCTTTGTGATGATGGTGGGGCCAAACCTCAGCAAGGATGTTGAGTTCCTAAGGGCGAGTGTACCTAACACAATGGGCAAATACTACATCAGCATGCTAGGTATATAAAAGAAGCAAGCCTTAGACACTAATGACGCATTTTAAAGCCGTGGTGGGCCCAGGCCCAACACGAACAATATTACTAATTGGATGGTCTATTACATATGGTATATGTGCCAGGCCCATTCCTATTCTTAGTTTACCTAATGTTGGACTCATGTTATATTGTCCACGTTCCAGTTAACTAGGCCTTGGCGTGGGGGGTGTTAGATTATCGCACATTGGTGGAGGAAATGGTTGTATCCTTATATGGTTTTGGGAAATTTTCACCCCATGAGCAAGCTTTTGGGTTGAGTTAGGCTCAAAGTCCATTTGTTATCAGCAAGGAAAATAGCCTTTTTGGAAATCAGTGGATATTTTTCTCAGGATCTTGGTTGTGTCAGATCTGTTGCCCTCACGTGGTTTTGATTCATTGACTATATTGTAATCTCTTGATCATGTCTAATGCTGGATTTTCTGGGTCTAGGTTATTGTCTCAAGGATGAGATACATATCTTCTCAAACAGAGCGCTCAGTTCGGTTTGTTGGCCTGTCAACAGCATTAGCGAATGCACAGTATGTGTTTTATTGCTATATTTTTTACTCTTCTTTTTATGTACAAACGCGCTAATGGGTTTCATGGAGTTTTTGCTTTGTTGATTGTTCCGTTTTAGCAATAGATTGCTAGGTTACTACTTTTTATCTTGTTAACTCTTAAATGACATTCTTTCATGCTTTTTCAAACCCAGTAATTTGGCTGATTGGTTGGGTGTTGATGAAAATGGTCTCTTCAATTTCAAGCCAAGTGTGAGGCCCGTTCCTCTTGAAGTTCATATTCAGGCAAGTGGAGCTGTTGATTATAAGCTGCCCAAGGACCATCATCATCAAAGTAGACTTAAGTATATTTACCTACTATTATCATGCTTTAATAGTGATTTGTGAATCCTTTCCTTTAACAGGGATATCCTGGGAAGTTCTACTGCCCGAGGATGAATAGTATGAACAAGCCCGCATATGCTGCTATATGTACCCATTCACCAACAAAACCAGTTCTAATCTTTGTCTCATCTCGTCGCCAAACAAGGCTTACGGCACTGGACCTTATTCAGGTGAGATAACAAATCACGTTTGAACTGTATCTATCTAAATTTTTCTATCTCGTAGTAATGGTAACTAATCTGTTATGTTTTCTTTCTGAATTCAAAGTTTGCAGCTTCAGATGAGCACCCGAGGCAGTTCATAAACATGCCAGAAGATGCACTTCAGATGGTTCTTTCTCAAGTCACAGACCAGAACTTGAAGCACACCTTACAATTTGGAATTGGATTGCACCATGCTGGACTGAATGATAAAGACAGATCATTGGTCGAGGAATTATTTGCAAACAACAAGATTCAGGCAACTATATCATCTGAAAATTTTAGATCTGTAGGAGCAATAATATGCTGAAATTGAAGCTTATATTTGAGTCATTTTGGCTGCAAATTTCTAGGTGTTGGTCTGTACAAGTACGTTAGCATGGGGTGTAAACCTTCCTGCACATTTGGTTATTATTAAGGTACGTGTCTGTACGTAGTCTTAATCGCTTTCCAGAATTTGGTCAAAGTCAGGAATGCTATAATATCGTCTCCCTTTGCAATGCACGCTACCATGGGCTTATTGTCATTTTTTTCAGCTTTATTTGTTACATCGCATTCTTACAGATATGCTGTATACTGGATCACATTTCACTTTACTGGTTTTAAACTTACTTTAATCCATTTCTTACTAATAAATGGAGTTCCTTTCATGTAACTAAAATTTTGAAGGTTATTTGAAGTCCCTAAATTCTTTTTCTCCTTTATTTCTGTGGAATATTTTGGGTCTTTTTTTGTAAAGTTCAACTTTGATATACGTAATAGGACATCTCCTTTTTATCTGCTTGTTGCAATAGCCAAATTTTGAAGTCTTTTTCAATTCAATTTTTTTTTTTAAAGTCTTTCTTCTTTCTCTCTCTTAAAAAAATGCATCCTCCGTTTCAATTTAGATGAGGTACTTTCCGTATTAGTCCGTTCCAAAAAGAATGACACATTTATATATTTGGAAACAATTTAACTTTAAACTTTTCATTTTATCCATTTTGCCCTTAATGAGAAGTTTTTATAGCCACACAAATATCATGGCCCCACAAAGCTTTTACCGCTTAAGCTTTTAGGACCACAAGTTTCAAAAGTCTTCTTTTTCTTTCTTAAACTCCGTGCCGAGTCAAACTACTTAATCTAAATTAAAAGAAAGGGAGTAGATACATATATTTCTTCTCCTTGCATTCCTTCGATGAGTATAATCTGCTCGTCCTAACAGATAACTGTGTTTTTATGTTTTTTAATGACAGTCAAAGTTAGTTCTTCTCAAATGAAGTGTTTAGTTCTTTTCTATTTTTGGTGTAAAGGAAAGTATTTAGAAGATCATGAATCTTTGTTTGATGTTTTAGAATCCTTGTGCGAAGGAAAAGGATTTAGGAGTGTCTTCCTGCATTTCACATTGTAATTGTTAATATACAAATATATTACCTCTAAAAAAAAAGACAATCAAAGTTTTTCATGTGTCCTCAAGATGCACACCATCTTTGGTGTCTAAAATATATCGATCCTTCTGCAGGGAACAGAGTACTATGATGGGAAGGCAAAAAGATATGTTGATTTCCCAATCACTGATATATTACAAATGATGGGTCGAGCGGGTCGTCCACAATATGATCAACATGGAAAAGCTGTTATTCTTGTTCATGAACCCAAGAAGAGCTTCTATAAAAAGGTTATCCATATTTCTTTTCTTTGAATAATTTATCTTGACTATAATGTTGCTTTTTCTTTCTTTCAATTATTTAAGTGCCTAGTATATTGTGCATTTTCTTCCCAACACGTAGATAATGTGCTCTCTTTGCAGTTTCTGTATGAACCATTCCCAGTTGAAAGTAGCCTGAGAGAGCAATTGCATGACCACATCAATGCTGAGATCGTTACGGGAACAATCTGTCATAAAGAGGATGCAGTGCATTATCTCACTTGGACCTACTTATTCCGTAGATTGGTATGGTTTGATGGTCTTAGGGCAGGCAATTTAGCTTTTGTTGCTCCAAATTTTCCATCTTGCATCAATCTACTTGATGCATGTTTTTCTTTCTGCTAGTAATCATAAGTATGTTGTTTGATTGCAAATCTGATATGGGTTACTCATTAATGTAACATATTAATATGAATTTTCTAAATATGTAATGAACTAAGTTGTGTCTCCAGCAGTTAAGTGCCATATAAATGGAAGTCCAGTAAATGAAATGAGTCTTTTCAAATGAGGTAGACTTAATAGTAATACAAGAGCTTTAAGAGTGTGACCCTGTTGCCATTATCTGTTGTTTATGTTGTCTATTTCGGAAGGTAAGTGTTATTTGCTAACTTACCATTGCAAACATCTAACAATTGGAATTGGAAAAAATATGTGGTGGGTGAAGGATTTATTTCAATTGTATCAAGCGTATTGTTATTTGAACTAGTATGAGGATTTGTTTCGGACTGTGACCTTTAAGATCTATATTGTTGTAATCAACAAGCAGACAAAAAGGAACACACGTATTCAAGCAGCAGTTATAGTTGCACAAGAAAAGCACGTGCCTGTTTGATGTGCTTTACCGCTTACTGCTGATAGACTTGTGCCATCGAAGAGTTAAAAATAAGGAGCATCTGAGTTCTACTCCAGGTAGCCAAGTCTTGTCAAAGCTCAAGTTGAAACAGCTCGTGTCAAAAATTTATCAGTTCCTAAGGGACAGTAATAGCTAATCCGCAAATCTGTTTATTTTTTTTGATAAAGTAAGAGATTGTATTAAAGGCATCCAGAAGATGCAAATTACAATAGATGACAAAAGTGTACAGTGTCTAAGGAGACACTGAATTAGCTCCTGTACAATGTTTAAGCTAAGATGGAGCTAACAAAATCCAAAAAAATTATCCACACGATTAACAGGAGTATGGAAGTTCCAACTAAACAGGCTAACTAAACAGATACTCCCTCTGTTCCAGTTTATGTGAACCTATTTCCTTTTTGGTCCGTTCCAAAAAGAATGAACCCTTTCTAAATTTGGTAACAATTTAGCTTAAAGTTACAACTCTACCTTTAATGAGAAGCTTTTATAACCACACAAATACTCTGGGCCCCATTTGGACTTGTTTAGGACCACAAATTCCAAAAGTCTTCATTTTTTTCTTAAACTCCGTGCCCAGTCAAACAGGTTCACATAAATTGGAACGGAGGGAGTAGCTTTTAAAGAGTGTAATGGAGTTGAGATTCCATCAAAACATCTGCGGTTCCTTTCATTCCATAAGCACCAAAAAATTGTAGCTGGGAGCATTCTCCAGATCCTCTTGGTGGCTTTATCAACTCTCCAAAAAATCCAACTTACATATGCATCTTTGATGTGGAAAGGCATCACCCATGCAAAGCCAAAAATAGAGTAGAAATTCCAGATGTCACCTGCTATTGGGCAATGAAGAAACAAATGGTTGACACTCTCTGAGTTTTGCTGGCATTGATAGCATCTGTTATCAACTCTCTGAGTTTTGCTGGCATTCTCCAGATCCTCTTGGTGGCTTTATCAACTCTCCAAAAAATCCAACTTACATATGCATC